CATTGCTGTTGGATACATGTGCTGGATGATTTTGTGTCACGCAGACTGGTAAGATAACCGTTTGATAGGGGGCACCGCGATGATTCACGGGGCCCCTCCTTGCTGTGGGAGCCGCTCTTTGAGCACTCCCTCTTTCGTCCGTGTGAAGGACGGTCGTCTACCTCCCGTGAAGTTAATACATCACCAAAACAGTCTCACCCGATAAATAAGTGGCGTAGGCCGCAAACATCGTTGTCGAAAACTGACGGAGAACAACCCCTCTGGACAGCAGAATATCTATTCACATCGTACTACGAGTGAGCAGTCTCGCAGGATCACGGGTTTCTCCATTATGTATCTGACCAATAACAAGAAGAAAGACTATCTGTCTACTCTCGCGTGCATAGTCTTCGCCACACCAGCTGACCATATTCGCAGGACAGGTAGTGGGTTTCGGGAAACATCCCGCACTCCACATGTAGTGTGCAGCCACATGAAGCACCAACGCCCGCCATATGACTTCTTTCTTTGATTGCTGACGGTGCAGTGGAAGTCAAGCTCATCAGTCGGAGTGAGCAAGATCATGGGACAGAGCCTGCCAGACACGGCGGGTTGGGAAGCAGACCAGGTGGCGCCGGCGCTGATCCAAATCAGTCGGCATCCGGGGTGTTGTTCTTTCGCCGTGCCCACGGGCAGCCTCTAGAACGCACCACAGTGCGTCCCATGGCCACGCGACGGCGGAGGGGAGGCAGGGGAGTCCTATTGGTGTCGATGCGTGGTCCAGCGGGTGTTCTATAGGTCATGCGGGCTATTGACTGGAGGGTCCGCAACACACGCCGTGGGCGTGTACGCGGCGTTTTGTTAGTGGATGTCGATGTCGGTTGGCATTCGAAAACACCTTTAGGGTAGAGTGTGAGGCATTGTTGGCAGGCAGGCGAGGAGTTCGTCTGGCTATGACGGAGGCCGCAGCAATTGGCATCTTCAACCAGAGCCACAATTATATTTTTGGAACGTACCCGGCATGGAGGTCTACCAGGCTGTGCGAGTCCATCGGACCATCCGCGTAGCGCTAGAAGACATCACTCACCGAGATTAACTGAAAACACAAGTACATCCCTCCCAAGAGAGGTCAGATCCGTTCAGCGACAAACCATTGTTATCAAGTGAAATCCCGTTCAGCGACGAAGTATTTTCTGACGGACAAACCCAAGTCGGTCAGCATGAAACGGGAAACGACAATACCTAAAACCAGGGCAGCCTGCTAGCTGCTACAAGACTTGTACTTGAACATCTATCCAGTCTCTCTCCCCGCTCCCCCCGCGGCGGTTCCTCCCTCCACGGTCCACACCAGCTCTCCACTGCTCGTAATCGGCTAGCCTCCTCTTGCTCTTGTGCCATGACGCCGTAAGCCATGGCGCTCTCTATCTCCACATGTAATAAGACGGTGGCCGGGACACCAATTGAAAAAAATGCCCTGGGCGGAGCACCAGTAGTCCAGTTGTACCGGGTGATATATACACTGTAGCAACAAGGGATTGGTCCTTAGCCAAAATAGGTGTTTCGTACGAGCGGGCCTGCACTGTATGCAGCAGAAAGAAGACTTTGAACGCTCATGTCATTCATAATTTTTGCATCCCCCCTAGACTCACCTGAGGGTTTCTCCGCTTGAGCTTCTTCCTCGATGGAGGTGAAGGGCACCCGAAGCTGTTGCTCGAGATCTTTCCTCACTTGCTCCGACAAGATTTTTGCAGTGAGTGGGATCGCGCAGCAACCTGTATAAAACAACGTCCACCGTAATGAAGGGCCGGCAGTGTGTAGTTGACAGACGCGACGTTCTTTTTTGGTAGGTGGTAATGTGGAGCACGTGGTGGTCAAAGGCAGGACTCGGGTATCAATGGAGGCTTGTTGTTGGCTGCACTAATAATGCATCCTTTCGAACTCTTTCCAGGCCATGGCCACATACGAATCCAGAATACAACAAGGCAAAAATACTACGAGCAAAGTTGAATTCCGCAAATTGAGGTCGGTCTGTGCCAACACTGTTTGTTCGAATGGCTGTTCATCTGTTTGCGAGCGAAACAAAAGGCCCGTCAGCAAAGAGGAACAGCAACAATTCAGTTCTTGGAAGCGTCAGCGAAGAAAAACGTATCCAGATCAAGGCTGCGGTGTTTTCGGACGCGTCATCAGACAAACATGTTTGTTTGCCATTAGAAAATATTTAGTTTAGAACAAATATCTCGAATGTATAGAGACTAGTAGTCCCTTCTTCTTGCTGTGTGTATGCGTATGCTTCAAGTAATATCTCATAGTGGCAAGCCGCTCGGGTGACAACATATTGCGTGTCCTCTCCGAGCCTGTTTCGCTCTTTGCAATTTTTCTGTACGCCTACCAGGATTCCCAGTTCCGTTTGCCGACACACGGAAGGAACCACAGGAAATAATGGGACAACGGTTGTTGGATCCTTGCCGTAGATAGAACTACATTCGGGTGTTTCGTGGATATCGTCATCCTGTTTAGCCGCGTTCTAACGTTCCCACACCTCAACGGTCATAGAGAACAGGTAGAGGGTTGCAGTAGAGGTTGGAGTTTTTATTAGCCAAGAGACGTTGTAGCCCACGGGGCGTCTCAGCGAACAGTTTGACTTCGAGATAACCTCCCACGGAGACACAAATTCGTTGTCAGCGCCACGTATGTATGATGTCTGCTCTGCAGTTGCATTTGCGCGCTGCGGAGTTGCCTCCTTCTTTCATGATGGACTTTTTTCAAGTCGTGGGTTCGCTGAGCCAATCGCTAGCGTGAACGGCGGTGGATGGGATCATGCGCATCGAATCCAGCCAACGAAAGAAATATCGGACATTACAGGGAAGCCTGAATTCAAGGCGGCTCTGGGCAGATGGTCACAAAAAAATCGAAATATACCGTTGTTTGGGCGGAGCCACCGGCCGCGGCTGAAGGTCCCACCAAATCCGTATCTACATTTATTGCTCCACTCCAAGGACGAAAATACCGTGAATTTCTAGAGAAGAAAATTCCACGGGTACGTGAGTTCCACTTCGGATTCGAGGCACCGTGAAATCATTCTCACGATAAAAACAGGCATCCAGCGTTTGCTTGAATTCCCGTGGCAGCTGTGCAGAAATAACAGCGGCGGGGCCCATAAAATCGTTCCCGATTGCAAACGGTTACTACTTTTGCACTGTGGGGAAACTCAAAGCAGATCTAGCTACTTGTTTTAGTGGACCGTAATCGACGAGGTTTGCGGTGTTTCTCTCTCCGTTGTTATTGTTATTTCTGCTTTGGTGTTGTTGCTGGTGCTGCTGGTGCTGCTGGTGCTGCTGGTTTTACCATGAGCTAAAACTACTCGTCGGTGAACCATAAAGACTCCAATTGTTTGCGGCCTACGCCACTTATTGATCGGGTGAGACTGTTTTGGTGATGTATTAACTTCAAGAGAGGTCGGCGACCGTCCTTCACACGGACGAAAGGGGGAGTGCTCAAAGAGCGGCTCCCACAGCAAGGAGGGGCCCCGTGAATCATCGCGGTGCCCCCTACCAAACGGTAGTCCTACCAGTCTGCGTGACACAACATCATCCAGCACATGTATCCAACAACAATGTTCGCAGACCCACGAACACCCTCCCTGGTTCTTCACGCAAGTGACTAACCATCAATTGGGCAAGAACGTCCCTGGATACATCAGAAAATACCAACATGGTAATATATGGAGGGGAAACCCGGCGTCCGGGCAAAACCTCTCAAGAAAAACCCTACCACCACAAAAAACCGTAGCTATCACAGCGGATCGCAACGGTCGCACTTATTAGAAAGGCCAAGGCGAAGACAAGAACGCGAGGAACTACGTTCCCCCGGACGATGGTCTCCCAACGCCCCCTACTCCTGCCATTGGTACACAGACCGCAACAGTTATGCGCCTTTCCCGGCATGGAAAACATGGCCTCTCCCAAGTGCTAGAAACTGCTACAGCTACTCCGGGAAATTCATCAGCTTGCGCCGGTGATACTGCAGACTGACCCTGCTGAGGGCTTTGGTGAGGCGGTCCGCATGTTGCTCCGTTGTCGGAACAAACTTGACCGAAATATCCCCCGACCTAAACAATCCGCGGATGAAATGAAACTGCATGTCGACGTGTTTCGTGCGACCTGAGCTGAGAGGGTTCTGCACCAACGCCATGGCCCCCTGGTTGTCCTCAAGGACCTGGATGCTGCTACCACTGGTCTCTGGGGCAACAAACGAAAGC